ATCATCATATAGAGCATATATAATTTCAATTTCTTAAAATGAAAGACTCCAGCCCAGAGAACACTGTATAAGGAAATATTTGAGATAAGACAGTTAGGACTTAAGTCATATCTTCCTCTGCTTTCTGAAGGGAATAAAATCCATTTTCTAGTTCTTGACCCAATATTCTAATTATACCCTAGATCATTTCTCTAGGGATGTTAAAGAAAAAAATGTATATATATGTAACTCTCCTAAAAAGATGTGTGAATCACAATAACTAGAGGAGTTTTTAAGAAAAAACTTTTCATGATCAAATTCTGAACTAAGAAAGCAACGCAATTTACATTATTTTAAGTTAGCACCTTACAAGCACAAAAGCAAGAATTTTATGTTATTTTTCCAAGCTACAGAATAGTCTGTTCAATTCAATGAAATACTACAGAATGCCTGCTATGTTGTAGACACTGGGTACCAATTTACAGTGCATATAACCATCAATACACCCCTAAAAAGTAGACAGTAGTATGTTCATTTTTCAAATGAAAAAACTGAGGTTCAGAGAGGTGAAGCAACATGTATTAAATCATATAACTTGTACCTTACAGGACCTCCTCCCAAAAAAATTATTCCACCTCTCCACTCTGCTCTCAGGGAGTTAACTCTCTAGCAAGGGGTATGACAAAGACCTGAAAACATAACTAAAAAATCCAGGATGCATAAAGGATGATTTATCAACTTGATTGTGTCAACTTGAGTAAGGGAAGCTCAACTAAATTGGTTCAGCAATTCTTCGCCCTAGGGTGTGGAAGACCCACCCTAGGGCAGCTTGTCACCTGGATGGTATAAAGGAAAATGAAGAAGGAGGGATCTGCTTCTGTTTCTTTGGAGGAGCTCCAGTCTTTGCCTTCACCTTGGATACCATCTTCTGGCTTCCAGAGCTGACTCTAGCCTTTCATTGCAGATCCATTAATACAGACTCTGCAGTGAGCTCCAGATCTTCGACTGAACACTTGGGTCTTCAGTGTGCAGACAGATCCTTTGCGCTCTTCCACATCCAACTCTGTGGGCAGTCATTGTAACCCAATCTTTAAATTCATATATATATATATATATATATATATATATATATATATATATATCTCACATTACATCTGTTTCTCTAGTAAACACTGGCTGATACAGAGGCTCTTGGTGTTTCAAAGGAGAACAATCCCATTCGTTTGGAAATGGCAAGCTCAAACCTTAGCCTGTGAGTAGAGCACAGGTTGGAATTCTTTGGCACAGCAGAGTGGATAGCACCATACTAAGCCACTTGGAGTCTTGGTGACCATTAAATGCCATCTGATTAGGACACATGCGATAGTCAGGTCTTGCTGAGAAAATGATAAATTCAATGCATTTCCCACTCAATTATTGGTACCTGCTAGCTCTGGCTCTTGCTCATCAGCTGCGCACATCTTATCTACTTGCCTCCTATTCATTAACCCCACCCACTTTGTTTTCCCCTCAGTTCCTCAAATGCACAAAGTTCTCTCAGGGCTCCACTTCAGGGCTTTTGTACATGACCATACTCAATGTTCTCCAGTATCGCAATGTTCTATATTTATCAAGGTTCTTAGATGGAATCACCAGAAAATAATTCCAGCTAACATAAACCTCAGATGGATTGAAGTATGTGGGGTGACTCATAGAATTTCCAGGGAGACTGGAATACCAGGTTTGTAAAACAGGAAGAAACAAAGCAAGGGTGGAAAAACGGAACTTCAGACAAAAAACATACTGAGATCCAGTCTGAAGAGGGCACTGTTGGCTTTGCCTCTGGATATGAAGGTCTCAAACCAGAGGAGTTACTGCTCCCTAAAACTGGATGTTACTACCACAGTCAAGACCACCAAAATAATTTCTCTGTTTTGCTGCTTAGCCTTCCTAGCTCTTGATGCACTCATTGCCTGGGGCAGGTGACACTAACCAAATATGCTTAATACACCCACATTCTAACTTCAAGGGTGCTAGGAATATGAGTAAATGGGCTTTGGAAAAGGGTGCCTCCTACTGAAACTCATAATGAGAAATCCTCAAAAACAGGAAAGAGGTTGAGAGGCGAAGGAGCTCAAACTTTCCACCTTTCCCTTCTTCCTCCCCTGATTACCTTTTTAAGATTGGCTTCTTAACAGTTCAGATCTTCCCTGAATTAACTCCTGTAAGAGATCTTTCCTCAACTACTTTATCTTAGAAGAGCTTCAGTCTGTTGTTATGCAGCTGGCTCCTCCTTCTTAGCACTATCACAGTTGATAATTTTTTTATTTGGACCAAATAATTATGAGCAGAAGGACTTTTGTGTTCATCAAAAGTGTTTCCCAGTGCCTATGAATGCCTTGCCTTGAGAGCGCTCTGTAAATATTTGTTGAACGAGAAAATAAATACGTGAGTATTTCCAGAAGGCAGAAAATCTATCTGTTCAATTTTCTTTTTTTTTGAAAGAGAACAAAATATTTTTATTTATAGTTGATGAAACATTTACATAGAAAACAATAGAATCAACAGGTAAACCAGAAGATCTAATGAGAGAGTAAATATTTTGCCACCACCATAGACTATTAGAAACGTAACACAAAATAGGACATAATTTATAACAACCAAAACTAATTAAGAATTAATCTATACAAGACTTTTATGGTGAACATTTATAATGCCATTTAGAGGAAAAACAATGACCTGAATAAGTGGGTGTAACGTATTTACACCAGGGAAAACAGAAGAATGCCAGTTCTCTCCTAATTGCTCTATGCATTAATGTCAAGTTCATTCAAAATTCCAGCAAAAGATTTTGATCCATTTAACATACTTATTCTAAAATGTATATGGAATTAATGTTCAATAATCACTGTCATTTTTTAAAAATAAGAGGGCAGTTGTTCTACCTACCAGATAATAAGTTATTAAGTCAAAACAATAAGACATTACAAAGCCAGGGTAGTAGGATGGTTGTGATATAATACAGAGGAGGAACTACAATTCATGGGGCTAGGAGGTGAATTTTTTTTTTTTTTTTTTGGTACTGGGGATCAAACTCAGGCCCTTGCACTTGCGAGGCAGGCAGTAGAACCACTGAGCTAAATCCCCGCCTCTAGGGAATGAATTATTAAGCAGAATAAAAACTAGCTCCATAGACTTGGAAAAATACATAGTTGGATTCTTACCTCTTACTAATACAAAAATTGACCCTAAATTCATAATTTATTCAACAGACACATATTGAACATCTACTATGTATGAAGGACTTTTCTGGACACTGGGGATATGCCAGCAAAAAAGATAAAAACCTTACCACCATTAAAATCCTAAAGAGGGTAAAATTATAAAATCAATAGAAGAAAATGTAAGAGAATTTTCTCATGATCTCAGAGTGAGAAAAGACTTCTTTGCCAAGAACCAGAAAAAACACAAAGTGTGAGGCAAAAAATATTTGATGGGTTCGATGACATCATAATTAAATATGAGCAGACTTTACTGCCCACCCAATCATTCAAGAGACAGTCTCCCATCTTCATAAGGAGACATGTGCAAGGTTGCTCATCACAGTGTTGCTTCTGATAGCAGGAGATTGGAACCCACTTTGATGTCTCCTTCCTCAGGTCTCAGAATATGACCACATTTCACTTCTTCTCTACTTGGTAGTAGTCATGGGATATTATGACCCAAGAATTCACAATGGTCTAGCCACAGTGTTGTTTTATGTTATCTGGAAATCTAGAGTTCCTCTGTTTAACAACTTTTTTTTTTTGGTACCAGGGATCAAACTCGGGTCCTTGCGCTTGTGCAGCAAGCGGCGAAACCACTGAGCTAAATCCCTGGCCCCTTAACAACTTTGAAAATAACACCAGGGGTGTGAAATGAACCACTATGGTTCAAAGATGCATAAGAGATGGGACATAGAATTTTTTACATGCCAAACTAAGCAGATCTTAATTAACATTTGGAACTAGCAGATAAATCCACAAGGCCCTAAAGCCAATTCAGCTAACTCTTCAGAAATTTATTCTAGTCAAATAATTTCTAGGAATGGGGCATTGCTCTGTGCAACAAACATTTCTATACACTGGAGGTCACAGGGCCACCCAACCATGCTTTGATGGCACTTAGACACTAGGTGGGAACTGGGATAATAACTGGAACTTAGGAGACTATCTTTAAAATTCCCACATCAGTGTATCAGTGTGCAGAGCCACATCCGTGCTGCAGAAGTGATTGGCATATATGAATTATATTAAGCAAAATCAGGGGAAAAGTGTATCCAGGGCAGGAAGGCCAAAATGAGAAGGAAAAAAGACAAAAGGAGAACACTCCAGGCTGAAGCCAGAAGGGTGATAGGTAGGTCAAGGCCCTCACCATATATAGGGACCAGTATAGGGAGCTACAGAGAACGTGTTGGGAGGCTAAGGCCTTGGGCCCTTACTGACTTGGACACATTTCCATTGCTCCTCAGTTCCCCAACTCCTCCTAACACAACCAGGCTCAACAGAGAGAGTAGGTCAGTGTGTATCACTCTGCCCAAGCACTCGTTTTACAGATAAAGACACTGAGCCCTAGAGAAAGGGAGAGATTTGTCCAAAGTCACAGCCATTGAACTGAAATTCTGAACTCATTGCCAAATGTTCTTTCCTCTGTCTGAAGCTTCCCCTCTGCCTGTTGGAAAGAGGATGTCAACCATGACAGGCAGTGATGGTACATTTAACCAGTCAGGGAGGATAGGTTCAGGCTGTCTCATTCCTAGAAAGAAGAGTGAGAATTGCAGAAGGGCTCTGGAACTTCTTGTGTTGTATGCCTGGGAGGTGGGGATGTGGGGAGGGACTTCTCTGAGGCTGGGAGACAGAAGATCCTCAGTTACTCAAACCAGGAGAGTCTCAATTGTCCACTACAGTTTGGTATTCCAGACCTACACTTGCAGGAAAAGTTTGTCACTAGTGAGAGCTGTGCTCCATTTCTTCTTTCACTTGCTTTGTTCAGTCTCCTCCTTTTCAAGGCAAGACTTCCACATAATCGTTATTGTTCTCACAAATATCATTCAGGACTAATTGTGATCTTCTCTGTCTCATGCAGAGGCTGGGTCTCCTTATTGGCTTTGAAAGGTGAACCACCAGTCCTTGATCTGGGTTTTTAAACCTGGAGACCAATTCCTCTAGGTTTGGAAAGACTGATTTTGGAACACCTTCCATACTCTCTATCCTGTATCCTTGTTTCTCTCTAAAGATTCGGTATGTGTAGACACAGTTGTTAAACAAGACACAGAAGCACAAGACTCCTGGTATAGACTAGCTGTCTCTTATCAGAAAGTTGCCATTTTCTCCTTCCTTGAGCAACAAAGTTTCACACTCTTGTTTCATCAGACAGCCGTGGTAGTAAGGCAGATCCATGGAGTGCTTTCTTGTGTTACAGCTTGGAGTCCAGCTCTGAAGAGGAAAGTGGAGGGAGCTGGTTTGAAGGGCCTCTTCCTACAGTGGTATGGGAATGAGATGGGCCTGTTCAATTTTCTTTAGCCCAAATGTAGCTCTATATTGAAAAGGGAGTTTCCACAAATTACCCTGGAAATTAATTGGGTTACTTTATATCCTCAGCCATTGGCTTGTTAATTGGCAAATTATCATGTACAATTTTGAAATTTCCATTTTTAAAAATGTAGTGAGTAATACTTCCTTAGCTGGCATGCAGTCATGCTGTGGGTTTTCACTCATAGCATTTTGTGCATGTAATTGGCCAGGTCTTTTATCTGAATATATAAGGGGTTTAAAAAATGCTCTTGATTGTTCAGGATACTGAGGCAGGAGGATTGTGAGTTTGAAGTTAGCCCAGGCAACACAGCAAGCCGGAATTAGAAAGAGAAAGAGAGAGAAAGAGGGGGAGGGGAGAGAGAGAGAGGGCAAGTAGACAAGGAGGGAGGGAAGGATAAGAAAGAAAGAGAGGGGAGAGAAAGAGGAAGAGAGAGAGGAAGGGAGACTTTGAAAGGTGTACCTTGCTCCTTGTTACAAATCAGATATTATAATCTTCTTATAAAGGACTTTATAACTGTGGTCCAAAAGTAGCATTAAAGGCTATGGTTTCCTATTCTACATCACTGAGATCATTAAATCTTTTAAAGAGTATCTTTCCCACCACTACACTAAATCTTTAATGGTGCCTTACTGGCACTTCTATCAACTCCAGCTACTCAGAAAATATGTTTTTAGGGCCAGGGATTTAGCTCAGTGGTTCCACCGCCTGCCTCGAAAGCACAAGGACCTGAATTCAATCCCCGGTACCAAAAAAAAAATGTTTTTAATTTGCCATCAATATACAGTTATGAGCCTAGCCAGTTTTCACTTATAGCAAGCTGGCTCCCTGTTCCGTGCTTCTGTATTTTGAACATAACTTTGATCTGATATTTTTCTACTATAAGTGTCTAAGACCCCAGTGGCCAAACCTTTATCTTACAGGTCTTTGTATTTTCCATAGTGTTTAATATAGTCTTGGAAACACATTGTTGCTTAGTGAATGTTGGCAGCATGAGGCTGTGGCTATTTTATAGTCTCTTTCAAATGTGTATGTGTCCTATCTCAGCATTTAGCACAGTGCTCTGACTATTCTGTGACTGCAGCTGACTGGCTGATGGTGTCATTCACTGGCTCCCTGTTCACCCATCCTGGAAAATTTCTACAGCCTTCACTAAAAGGGTTCCAAGGACCCTTACTCCACTTGCAAAATTGCTTTCAATATTTTTTGTACAGATGCATTTTTTCCAAGGAGAATTCACAATTTTATCAACCTCTTTAATGAGTTAGAAAAGTTTAAAAATTACTATCCCAGAGACTTCTAAATCCCAAATTGTCTTTTGGAAAGATGAATGGAGAAACTACCTACATGCACATTTCTTCTATCCCTGAATTCCCTAGAAAAGTAAAATAGTGATGATAGTAATAAGCATTCATTGGAAATTTACTGTGCGCTAGTTCTAAATATTTTACATGGGCTTTGTAATTTTATTCAAATTTTTAACCCTAAAATTCTCTCTCTCTCTATATATATATATAGGCCCATAAAAAATAATTTTAGGATGCACACAGAGGTGTTATTTTGGCATGGGCTTTCTTACTCTTTTGGTCTTAGCTTCAGGTTTTTGCATGCTGATCTATGTACTCTATTTTATTAATTTTTTTTTTCCTTTTTCAAGTTGAACCCAAAACATCGTCACAACAATTTATGATCTGAAACAGTGTCCCTTATTAAATTAGTCTCGTTGAGATACCAGGTGTTTTGGATAACTAATTTTTTTCAATTAACTGATGGTTTACCAATTAAAGATTTAAACCTGACAAAAAGAAGCCATAAATAAGATGTAGGAACTTTGGCCTTTGGATCTTTTCTAAAATTGGACGTTCTATTTCACACCAGCGTTGACCAAGCCGCTCACTTGAGCCACTCCCTGTTGTTTACTATTCGACTCAAACACTGCTGGAAACTCCAGAATCTGATAAAAGGTAGAAAATTGAAGTGTTTTTCCAAATTTGGGCAGATCTTCATGCCTTCCTAATTTCTCTACTCCTTACCCACCCACACCACCAGATATTATAAATCTGCATAATAAAAATATACTGGTTTGAACTAATGAGCTCAGAAACTTTTCTACCTAAATACCCTTACCAGTGTTAGCTCATCCCAAATGAGTCATTAGAAACTATTAAAAGAGTCTTACTAAGGCAAGCTTGACCAAGTTAGATACCAACAGTATAGTCTATGGCAGTTAAATGACTAAGTAACCTCGTTCAGCAGATAGTTGCTTCCTTTTCTAGAAGCTGTAGCTTATGAAATACTACTTTGTCTTGGATTTTCTTCTACCTACCTTTCTCAATTACCTTTATAAACACTTTCTTCCACCTGTTATTGAATGCTAGTATTCTCCAGTGTTCTGTATAAAGCCCTCTTCTTTTTTTTACATAATAAACTCAAATAAGTATTATTCATATCCATCTTCAACTAAATCATTTATCCATATATATATGTATGACTCTCTCAACATCTCGAACTCCAGATCCATATATGCACCTGCTTACAGTACATCCCTATCTTAAGGCCACTGGCTTAAGTCAAGCATTTCCCAAACTAAATAACCTAAATATTCCCTAGAAACATTCAGTTAGCCACGATATTGTTTTCTATTGGAAAAGCACTTCTTTCGCCTCATCTTTTCTTGCCTAGTGGTGGGGTCTCTTCCAGAACATATGCCTGGCCTCTCTCCATCCCCTCTTTTTATTCCTTATTGCAGGAGAAAGAAAAAACTATGTTGGTGAGATTGGGAGAAAAAAACACTGGGTATCCACAGATTTCTCCTTCCTCTTAATTTTTTCTTTCCTTTGACACCTGTGAGCCTGAAAAAGGTACATATGCATTTCTCTCTCCACCATGAATTTTATATAATTTAATTTCCTCTTAAGGAAATCTACCAGCCATCTCTCCCTTCAATTTAAATTTGGGCCAAGAAAAAGCAGCATTATGTATCTATGCTATTGTTATGGCTTAGATATAAAATATCCCCCCAAAAGGCTCATGTGCTCAATAGGGCTTTGGAATATAATTGGATCTTGAAGGCTCTAACTTTATCAGTGGATTAACCCATTGATGGGTTCATAATTTGATGGCATTGTTGGGAGGTGATGGAAACTCAGGAAATGGTACCTAAATGAATGAAGTCGTTCATGAGGGTGTGACCTTGGGTACCATATCATGTCCTAGGCCCCTTCTTCTGGGACATATGCTCTCTCAGTTCCTATTTCTGCTTCCTGGGTGCCATAAAGTAAGCAGCTTTGCTCTACCATTCCTTTCTGCCATGGTGTTCTGCTGTACCTCAGGCCCAAAGCAATGTAGCCAGCTGACCATGGACTAAAACCTCTGAAACCATGAACCAAAATAATGTTTCCTCCCTTAAGTTGTTTTTTCTTGGTAATTTGTCACAGTATCAAAAAGGTAACTAACACACCAATCAAATACAATGCCTTTAAAGAATTCTAAAGTTTTCCATTTACCTTATCACTTTATACCCAACCAATTCAAAATAAAAGGTAGCATTGGGCTATTGCTTAAGATTCCCAATAAGGGCCAGGGATTTAGCTCGGTGGTTCCGGCACCTGCTTCACAAGTGCAAGGTCCTAAGTTCGATCCCTGGTACCAAAAAAAAAAGATTCCCAATAAAAAATCCAGCTATTATTAAAGTTAATAGAAATATGGTACCAGTTACCTCAGGTTTTCATAAGCAACTTATGATGTAAACAGAAAAATATTCACTGGTCTAATTCCTGAAAAACACTGCCTTTGAGGAAGGGGGAAAAAAAAGAATTGAGATGTGTTAGATGTGTGTACCAATTCCCCACCATAAATGTAATCATTTTGTACTGCAAACATATTCTAATAAATATTTTAAAATTTAAAAAAACATTGCCCTTGAATAGTAAAAATCAGGTAAATAAACCACACACACACACACTCACACACACACTCCTTGCAGAATTGTTCTAATCTCCATTGAGAGGTTTGTAACATGTAGCTGCTACCCTGAGATGAACTTTTACTTGAAGCAAGTATTGTAGTCAGGTGAAATCCAAAGCTTAATGATACCTGGTTGTCTGCCAGAAAAAAGTGCTTTATTCTCTTATCAAAATTTTAAACCCCCTTTAACATATCCTCTAATATCTTCCCTTTGTCACTTTAACATGCTGTCTGATGTCATCCTTTTGCCCTTCCTTTGGATTTGGCCTAGGAGGAGATCAGAGGGAGAGTGACATCAGAGCAAAAGGTCACTATTCCTCTCTGGGAAAGCTCATCTGTCAGACTTTCTCTCTGCCTGCTTTCTGTTACTCTCCTTCCCCTCATCTCTCAGGTCCCCAGGACAGTGACAGCACCATAGCTGAGAGCTCTGTCCTGATTCCTGCAGTACCACTTGTGATTCTCCACCCCTCCTCTTTACCTGAGAAAATTACAGTCCCGTGGGTAAATAAACCCTCCTTGAATTATTCTAATTTAAATTGCCATCTCTTTTAGCCTAGTGACTCAGCTTTAGTCAATGAAAGTAAATTAGTATGTGAGTCTCTATATTCAATTGTTTCTGTATTCAAGTTGTATAACAGAAAATCACTTTGTTCCCAAACCCATTAAATAAATGTTGAACTGAATTACCACACTGTTCAGAACTCTTACGTGCCCCAAACCCTAAATTAGTCATGGAATCCCACTACTTCCACCTTATAAATATTCCTCGAATCTATTTCCAAATCTCTCATTGTCTTCTAACAGCTAATCTCTTCTCATTTAAATTACTAATTTGCCTCTCTGTCCCTGTTCTAGTTTCCTCATCTATCCATTTTGCATACAACTACCAGAATATTTTAAA